GAACTACTATAATATACGGCGATTGAATAGAGAAGCTGCGAATAAATTAGGAAGTCTTTAATTTAGTTAGAAGATTTGTATCTCAAAAAAAAAAACTCAGTTGTTTTTTATGTATGTAAATGAGTTTGTTTCGGTTTTAATATTTAAAATATTAGATTTTTCAAGCTAAAATTTTTTGATATTTTTTTTTTTAAATATGGTGCGTGCTTTAACAAAAACTGTATAATCACTTCTTCTTCTTCTTTTTGGCGCTGTAACCGCCTAAGCGATTTTGGCCGAGTTCAGCAAAGCACACCAGTCGTTTCTCCTCTGTGCCAACTGACGCCAATTGGGAATGCCAAGTGAAGCCAATTCCTTCTCCACTTGGTCTATCCATCGCAGTGGGGCGGCCTCCCTCTTCCTCTGCTACCACCAACGGGTCCTGAGTTGTATACTTGTATACTTAAAAAAAAAAAAAATGTTGCTGAGTAATTCAGTTCTGCAGCTCTAATTATCTTGTCCAACATCAAATTAAAGAAAACACATGAAACAGAGTCGCCCTGTCTGAGACCCCGTTTGGTAGCAAACGGCGCGGTGAGATATTTCCCAATTCTGATTTATCAACGTCATTTACACAGCTATGACAGTTTCGCGGGGATGCCAAATTCAGACATCGGCAACTCCTCTCAGTGCTGTCGAAAGCGGCTTTGAAGTCGACGAAAAGGTGGTGAGTGTCGACCCTTTTCTCGCGGGTTTTTACATAGATTTGGCGTATTGTGAATATCTGGTCTATTTATTTATTTATTTTATTGTTTTGTTTTTCAATAAGTTCGCTGACGATGGGCTTCAGTCTTTTACACAATACACTCGATCAGATTTTGTAACGTATGCTTACAAAGCTGATTCCGCGGTGATTGGCGCGTAGGGCGGTCTGAGGGCTCACTTTTCCGTGCTGCTACCATTCGGTAGTGTGAAAAGTGTTTCCTATATAATTTAAGTACGTTCTGGACACCAGTAACTAGGTCGCCATTGTTCCCTGGTCTTGAAACCTTTCGGCGACCTGCCTTACTCTCTGGTAGATTTTTCGGGCTTTTCTGCTGTCGGCCAGCATTTAAAACTCTTCGCACTCACGTATTTCGGCCTCTCCCTTCTGATTTGCTTCCCGCTTCAGTTCCCTATAGCGGTCCCGCATAGCTCGCCTTGCAGCCTGGCCCTGTAGGCGGTATGTTTTTTCTCTACAGTCCCTTGACACTACTCATCGCACCAATTGTTCTTTCTGCCACGCTGAAATAAGACTGCTTCTTCAACGGCGGTACTTAGTGAAAGGGAAGTTCTGAGCTTGAGTCGGTTTGTTGAAGCGTACTCTATGAGAGCAGGCGTGAGGGTCGAGTATCGAACGCAGCTTATCGACGTTAAACTTTCAATAAAATTTTTGGGCGCACATTTTTTACGGCACAGAGGCAGGAGCATATCATCGCTGCAACAATATTAAAGTCCGAGTGGATGTTTGGACTTCGAACCTGCCCAAAGCACTGAAAACATGCCTTTCGTTTATCATGGCGTGATCGATTTGGTTTCGCTTTTTTCGATCTAGAGACAGCCACGTAGCTGGATAGATCTTCTTATGCTTGAACATAGTTGTTGGGAAAATAGACCACTTGCTTTACTTTGAGTCTGCTTGACAAACTGAGTTATGAGAGGTTCTTTGTATTTTGTCTTCGTACGAAGATTTTGTACGGAAACACTTCTATTGAATTTTTCCAGGTAATGATTCCCTGAAACGCCCCAAGGAATGAAGATTCATGCTGTATAGATGCTTGGGTATATATTTTTAAGAATGCACAGCTTGAACTGTTATTTTTTCCAATTTTCTAAAAACGCTCAGGTATTTACATTCATTAAGAAAAACATAATCACTTGCATAGGTCATATAAATAAGTCTTACTTAAGAATGCAAAAAGCTCGAGGGTTATTATCCTAAAATCCCTGCTGCACTATGTATTTGTACAAAAATTGCTATGTTTTACGGTCATTGCTACAAAAAATTACTTCAAATCTAGGCTCAAGGTAACATAAATAATTAACAACAGCAGTAAAAATGATTTGAGCGGAAAAAGTTTACGGTAATGACCAGCAGTTACATTAAATCAAGTCTTAAAAGTTGCATACGAAAGCGGAAATTAAAACGCATTTTAATGTCCTCCTGTTACAATGCCGCATAAACTAACATGCACACATACACACACGCACAGCCTACGCCCATTTTACTCGCTTTACTATAAATTTGCAAACATTTCAACGCCCCTTTTTTCCCACTTTGATGTGCCACACTGTAATTAAGCGGATGTGCTCATTGTAAACGCATAGAAAAGGGCGCAAAAAGGCAGACGCAATAAAGTATGGATATGTGGGCGAGTATGTGTGTGTGTGTGTGCGGAATCACTGCAATTACATTTAACATGTAATTTTTATGTAATTAAATGTTTTTTCCCTTACCTCAAGCGGATGTGTGTGGGCGTAGTGTCGCCGCGGAGCGTATGCAGAGTCAGATATATTTGTGCGTGAGTGGGTGTTGGGCATGCAGCCAGGGATGCCTTAAAGTTTGATCAAACGTTTGGATACCCGTACATCGCGTATGAGTAACATTATTTCCTGCTTATATTTCAACAAAAGAAAATATTGAATTTATTTACGCGAAAGTGGTAAACCGCGGCGTAGTACTTGCCACTTCATTTCTGTAGTGAATTTTTTCCTCTACGATGTAGTATCTTTATATCTTTGTTTAAACCATTTGATTTAACGCAGTTAGAGTTTTTGGCATTGAGCTAGACAATGCTTGCAAGTTTTTCATTAACTAAAACATTCAAAAAATATAGATACCATTTTTATTCCATTATCGGACTAGGCTTAAAGGTTCCGCAATAGGTAACACTTTTTTCGAACAATTTTTTGAGGATAATCGATCAGTACGTGTTTTATTTTGGAAGTTACCGTTTAATAATTAAAATTCTATAAAAATCGGTTTTGAACCATTTTGCGATTTTATATTCCAAAAGTGTTTTGGAAAGAAACAATTTCAAAAATAGATAGTCAAGTTTCAAATCTGATTTAAATTTTCATATTTAAAATGGTCAATCAAATTTCAAAAAATTAAAAAAAAAATGGTTTTGAAAAATTTTTAAACTTTATATTTAAAAAGCTTTTTGAAAAAAAAAAATAAAATAAAAAATTTAAAAATATTTCGCTGTTTTTTTCGAAATAATTCAAGAAAAAAGTAAAAATGAAAAAAATTAAGTCGGAATTTTAATGCTCTAATCCCCTGGGATTTTTGTTATAACGAAAAAACTTTACCCCAATTTTTTATTCAATCAAAAAATATTTACTTGAAAAACTTTGAGCGCATTGAGCGGTTTAAATATTTTTTGGTTTCAAAATTTTTTCTGTTTAGAACAATTCTGGGGGATGGGAGCTTCAAACTTTCTACTATATATATTTTTTTTTGAACCACCCTAATATATATATATGTATATTGTTTTCACTGAAAAAAAAAACTTGAATGAAAGTGAATAATAATTATTTCATGGAATACCACTGCTAATTGGAGAGCTTTTCCAGGAATTTAGGGGAATTAGCCTTAACAGAGTTGGCAGCCCTGCATGCAACATCAGCGCTTATATTTTGTGGTAGAAAATTTTGCGTGATTTCTTGCCACTTACAGGCCATAAATATGTGCGAAGACATAAGAGTTTTATTTATACATATTTTCATGCACGCACATTTTTTTTTATATTATTTATTTCAGTCACACACACACATACGCACTGCGTTGGCCCGTTGGATTGCGCAAGTGAAAGGTGGCCGGTGCCGTTAATGGGTCATTAGTATGCTCATTTTTATTCTATTTAGTTTCAGCTTTACGGCTGACCACGTTTTAGGCGCGTTTGCATGCCATAGTGAGCATGTGTGTGTATAGTACCAACATATGTATATGCGCCTGCCTGTGTGTATGTGGCTGGCCGCCGTTAATTGCTGCGTGTGGCAAATGCAACTGATTTGCTGTTAATTAAGTGCGGCAACAGCTGACAACATGCTACAAAAAATGGGGCAAAATCAGCAAACAAGCCCGCTAACAGGCGCACAGTGTGTGAACCATACATACAAAAGCCTAGAGCCTAGAGCCTAGAGCCCAGCGCTGCCTTATTGCCGGCCAATTAATCAACATATCAAACGTAGCGCAGCGTGTAGTAAATGACGCATATTTTATCATTAACTACTTTAATATACAAATACACTGCCAGCTATACACACACACACATACATAAATATATATTTACTATAAATATTTATATTTGTAAATGGCATATACATAAATAAGTTTGTATGCATTGCTCCACTTTCGCTTCACTGCCACATTTAATTGCCTACTTTCATCAGCGTTTCGCCAAGTCGTCGTCGTTCGCTTACTTACTTACTTACCTTAATAAATTGAAATGTTGCTATTGGCGGCAATCGTTTGCTCTTTGGATAGAAGAAGCTACTCGCTGGATGTGCTGGATAGCGTGATGTGATGCGATAGATGACACCTTGTGGCGATGTTGGCCAATTGGGAGCAGTAAATGTGAAACCATTATCGGTGCCCGCATCCAGTGGATCCATTTCGACGGTAACAGTGTCAATCCAAGAGCCGCCGACACAGAGCTGTAAGTAATTAAATGAAAATAATTAAATAATTTATTACGATGCTTTTTCAGCTGCAAAATCGTGTGTGGTTAAGTAAGCGTATAAATTGAATAAACATCAGTTAATTTCTGGCAGTAGTAAAGAATTTTATGCTCACTGGCACTGTAATCGTAAATAATCTGTTTTGTCATCGGAANACTATAAATATTTATATTTGTAAATGGCATATACATAAATAAGTTTGTATGCATTGCTCCACTTTCGCTTCACTGCCACATTTAATTGCCTACTTTCATCAGCGTTTCGCCAAGTCGTCGTCGTTCGCTTACTTACTTACTTACCTTAATAAATTGAAATGTTGCTATTGGCGGCAATCGTTTGCTCTTTGGATAGAAGAAGCTACTCGCTGGATGTGCTGGATAGCGTGATGTGATGCGATAGATGACACCTTGTGGCGATGTTGGCCAATTGGGAGCAGTAAATGTGAAACCATTATCGGTGCCCGCATCCAGTGGATCCATTTCGACGGTAACAGTGTCAATCCAAGAGCCGCCGACACAGAGCTGTAAGTAATTAAATGAAAATAATTAAATAATTTATTACGATGCTTTTTCAGCTGGAAAATCGTATGTGGTTAAGTAAGCGTATAAATTGAATAAATATCAGTTAATTTCTGGCAGTAGTAAAGAATTTTATGCTCACTAGCACTGTAATCGTAAATAATCTGTTTTGTCATCTGAAGGGATTTTTTTCAAAAAGTTCTTTAAGAAACTATTTTCCATTTTTGGGGGTATTTTCAAATCGGTCCAGCTCTCGTAAATCTTAATATTTTTCCGAAATATTTTGGTGGGCGTCTTAAAATATAATAAATTTTGAAATGCCGACAGAAAAACCTCAACTATTTTTGGTGATGCAGTCTAATGTACATACATACAAATATCATACGTTTTGGTAATTTTACGTGTTCAAGTAATTGAATTCACGAATACTCTTCAGCGCTATTTGTAAATATAATTTCGCAAGTCAGCAAAGAAAAATTACATTTAAAAAAATCGATTTACTTTTCATTTGTATAATTTTGTGTGTTCCCCCCGTGAAGTAAGACAAGCAAACAACACAAAATATCAGCAGTAACAAAGCATACTTTTAAGCGCAAATTTACAAAGTAAACACATTTAATTCTTTCCAATATTCTTACCAAAATCCGCTAAATGAGTTTGAGTTCGAATATTTGTATATGGCTGTGCATCACATTAATTGGAAAAGCATTACTGTCGGCTTAGGGCTAACGAAAATGATATTCATTGCCAGTGGTGACGCTTTGAAGTGCTCACAAACGAACCTAAGAGTATGCAATGCAGACATACAAAAATCTGAATATAATGTCAATGCTATTAAATGTAAATCGTCACAAATCGCATTAGTGAGAGTGATATGAAATGAAGAAAGATTGCGTGGAATAGTAAAGTAAGGGAATAAAGTGAGAGTGGCGAAGAACGACAGACAGTGTGTGGAGTGAGGGATTGAAAGGGATTGAGTTAGGTACGATACCTTTCGGATCGAATCAATTGGAGCTGATGGAAAGTAAAAAATCTTGCTTGCGGTCATTATGGAAAGCATTTGGAGTGGATGGAAGTGTGGCAGACCAAGAGGATTGAGAGCGGGGTAGAGTGCAAGCGGCAAAGCAACACAAATTGCTAGAACACACAGCATATTTGTGGATTCGAGGGCATGCTGATTGACAGAAGCAATCAAATAGAAATCAAAATCCAAATACAAATCGAAAGCAATTGAAGCTGAAAGCCATTGATGGCATTATACGACTATATAGACAAATAATTCAGACAGCGCTGGTGATGTTGTTATTGCATGTCATAAAAATAACAACAAGCATTCGTATGCAGTGCGAAGATGGAAAACAGTCAACGAGAATAATGATGGCAACACAAATGAATGCTTGAAGAGCAGAGTGGACGTAGAGTACTCGTCAAAAGAATGGGATGCAGGTTGGTGATTTCTATACTAAGCAGAGAATGGGAAAATGTTAATGTGACAGCTTTAAGTGGTGGTGTTATGACCAGCAATGCCATGCTTGTTCAGAGCATGCGACTCGTCGACGACCACAAAAGTTCCACTGTCTGGGTATTAACCTAAGTAGCAGTCACCTCAATCGATTTGTGCGCTTTCAGCACGTTATGCTGCTTCTCTTCTATTTTATCTACACCCACTTATTGTCATGTTCTACTAAATACTGTCTTATTGCGATTCGCGTTAGATATCTCTTCATGCCATCCACATTGTTTCCGTCACTTTGCATTTAATTTGATTGCGTTTGTCTCACTTCAGCGTTGGTTAAGTTGTAGTTGTGGCTTCACCTCATCCTTCTCTCTCTTTTCCACTAGGCACTAGTTGAAGTACATACGAGATGTAGCACCCTTTAGCACAATCTTAGCGACATTGTCGCACCGTATTTAGCCATTGGCGTTGCATGCAACTTGCTTCCGGTTATCAGCTGTTGGCTGTCGGCTGTCGCCTGCGGCTGTCAGCTGCTTTCCACTACTAACTATTTTACATCAATAATCAGCTCAGCGCGCCTGCAACCACTAACGCTTGTGGTTATTGTGGTAAATGCATTAATGCCGCTGCTAATAAATTGGTTTGACATTTTGAGTGTACCGACCGGCAATTGCAAGTACCTTTCATATGCATGCAATGATTGTGCGGCATGTAAAAATAACGCTTCAGCGCACATTGATTATGCAAGGTAATATGTAGTATGTAAATTAGGGGTGTCCTTAAATGTAGGAAGCAAATTTTTACATTCGATTTGCTAAGCTTCATCCTCTACGTCCATGCTACTATAGTCGAGGATATCAAATGCAAATTTTGGTCCCGATTGGAGTCGGTTAACTCGTGTCGTACAGGGGGCAAAGTTCATCGACTCAAATCGGGGAAAAAATTTATATGTAATATTTTCGACTTTAGTAGTATCGATTTTTGTTAATAAATGAAAAATATATATATATATCTTTTTAAATTTTTGAGCCTCCATAGAGAAATCTGGCTTAACCCTCTGTGCGACACACCTTAACCATCTCCAATCGGGATTAAAATTTGTATGTGATATCTATGACCGTGATGTTACCGATTGAGGGGGTGAGACTGAAAAAAATCGTCTATTCTATTTTTTAAGAACCGCCCTAATGTACATACATTACAAATGTTAATATGCATATCATTTCGTTATGTACATATCTGCGTACGTTTGTAATTTAATGCTGGAATATTTTGCACAAAGGTAGCCGTAACAAATAGACTATGGTTGTATACCGCAAATGTGAAAGGCTTTAAAACTGTCATTAAATTTGTTACAAATTTTATTAACGATTTAGCTTCTTCACTCAAGATTTGGTGAGATTATAATGACCAAAACTGACTCCAAAAATGGCGATAGACGAGGCAAGATAAGAAAACCGTGGACCCTTTCGACACATACAGCTCTCATTAAGGGAGCAAAACATCTATGCTGAATTTATGATGGGAGAGAGACTATGTCACCACCTACTGCTGTTCACCCTGTTAGACGAATGTTTCTATGTAATCCGCAAAAAAACGAGAATACTTAACGTCTCACACTTTTGCAATCTCGCTCTAATGGACGCGCAGAAAGGGGTGTCGAGGCCCTCTACTAATAGCGCTTTCCCGTCATCATGATATCAAATTGTAGCTGAGCTATTTCAATCATAGGACAGATAAGGAAGATATATTTGATACCATCGCTTGAAAGTTAAGGACGCAGCATCCTATAACGCAAATTCTGACCTGTAAATAGCGTTTTGTTCGAGCATAAAAGAATTCGTCAGGCTACATGGCAGTCTCGAGTTCGGAAAACGAGACACCAAATCAATCATGATTGACAGATTGCCTTAGGTACTTTCCGCGGAACAAACATCGGCTTAGATCACTATCTTGTTGCAGCTAAGAGCACCTAATAGCAACTGTTATGAAGAGAAATGACTGCAAAAGAATTCCGCCTAAGGACCAAGGTGCTGAAGAGAGGGGACAGGCATTTTCCTTAGTTAAAAGAGAGCGAATTACGTGAGTGCGAAGAGCGTTAGATGTTGGACGTACTCAATCAGAAAGATATGAAAGGTTTTAATACTTGGACGTTTCTCCAACCCGCTCAAATAATGGTGAAGCTAGTGCAAAAGTTGTATCGTAGGCGCCGATCGAAGACAACGAAGGCGATATGCCACATCACTACAATAGCAAGTAGCAATTTTCGAACTAAAAATAAAAGAAAATAAAGGAACTGACGGCCTATCACCCACGCTATTCAAGTACGTTGACGACAAGGACAAACGCATTCCTTTCGACTGGAACTTAAGTGGGATATGCCCAATCTCCGAAAATGGCGATCCTTTCCCATGCAACAACTAACGCGTTATCAGCTTACTTAATAAAGTATACAAGGCCCTATGAACCGGCAAGGGATAAATTTTACATTATCATTGTGGCTTTAGACTTGGTTAGTAGTAATTCCCTGAAACAAAATTCTTACTAGATCCGATAAACGGGTCTAACGGGAGCGAAATTTGATTCCAAAAAACCCTTAAAATGGATCCGGAAGTAGCGCACTTCAATTCCAAAAGACGCGAAAAACGGTTTTGGAAGAACCGAAATTCGTTTCCAAATGACCGTAAAACCAGTGCCGGAGGAACAGAAACTCGATTCCAAAAGACCCGAAACACGGTTCCGAAAAAACCGAACTCGATTCCAAAAGATCCGAAAATCGACTCCAAGGGCCGAAAAAAGGTTTCAGACGAACCGAAATTCGATTCCAAAAGAATAAAAATTCGGGTCCAAGTGACTTGAAAACGGTACCGGAAAACCCGAAAAAGGGTCTCGAAACTCCATTCCAAAAATCCCAAAAAAAACAGGTTCCAGAAGAACCCAAATATGGTCTCAGAAAATTCGAAAAATAAGTCCAAATAACAGATAAAACCTTTTTAAAATAACACTAGTTTCCTGGTCCTACTTGAACCTGGTCCTACTGAAACCGACCTCGACAGAACCAGTTCTTTAAAACTGCGGTACGGCATGTCACTGCTGGTTAGCCCGCCATTCAAGATTAACGCAAGGAGACCCTTTATGGAATAAAAACTTTAAATAATTTACTACTTTATCAAACTTGTATATGTGTATCTTTATTCCAGGAAAATTTTCGGAACATCTAAAAATTGTTCCTTAGATTTTTTATTTAAAAAATGAGTTACCTTTTTGTCTTACAACAATCGAGACCCTAACCGAACATCCAGAGCGTGGTAATCTACAACTTATAATTGTAATAAGTACTGAGATGCTCCATTTGAGAATTATGATTTAGTAAAAACTTGTCGCATATATTTTGTTACATACTTTTAGGCAGTGGGTGTTTTATTTACTAAGTCGCGCATAAAACATATACTCCTACACTTTTTATATACGAGTCGTTAAGCTTATGAGTAAAAATATAGTTTCTCCGGAAATTTACAGTTTTTTGAAAAGTAAATCTGGCAACACCGCTCACAATACAATTCAAACGCCACTTCGGCCTTAAGCTAAGTGTACGTACACCACTCTTACCATTTTCAGCATCTATTAATTTATGTAATTTGCCAAAATGAACGCCCTGTTCCTTTTTCACACTCTTCTCGTCTGTTTTTACTTCCTTTTTTAACTCAAACTTACTCACCTGAAACGAATCGACGCCGATAAACCAATCGGGCGATGGTACAATGCGCGTCATTAGTGATAATAGACTGTGATTGCTGTCCACAAAGAATTTTGTCTCCTGTCGGCCATCGCCCGTCAGCACTGCCGGTATGTTGAATTCGTCGAAAACGCTGCGTTCACCAACACCAACACTCACACCAGCAGCACCACCACCCCCATTTTTCTTCACGTTCGCTGTGGCCGTTGATACAAAGCCGACAAATGAATTTCCGTTTGCGGCATTTTGCTGTTGAAACAGTTGTTGTTGTTGTTGCATTTGTTGTTGTTGCTGTTCGCCTGCAATACTGTCCAGCAGATCACTCTTGCCTGTTTCAGCAAATTGTTTAACACCCGCTGTAGCCTGTTGGCCGATGTGATAGAGCGCATAAGATGAGTCGTGCGTGCGGCCTGCAAGAATGAAAGAGAGACAGAGAGAAAGAAATTGTAAGAAAATGTAAAAAAGCGCTGTGAAGTGAGGTTAAAACGAGTGCTGAAAGTTTAAGTGTATTCCGCATATTGAATGAATAAGAATAAATTAATTAAATGCGCGTTCAAGCTTCAGCTTTTTTCTTTCATGCAAAGCGCACAATTAAAAATGTATTACAGAGTTGTAGTGGGTGAGTAGCTGGAGGTGTTAGATACTGAAGAGAAGGCAGAAATTCATCCGGGACGAAAGCGTCTGGGCAGCAGTGAAGAATTAGGCAAATTACTCAAATGGCGAATGACTTCTTCAAAGCGGCTGAGGCGAAATAGACCGAGATGAAGCAATGCGCTGCTCGCCTGACCGCTTAAGACAACGGAAATAATTTGCACGGTAGTAGATAAGTAAGTAGTTGGTGCAGGTTGAACTGCGTGACACATTTGGGTCAGTGCCCGACGATGGTGGCGGGGTTGTAGTAGAATGAAAGAGATTGCTCAAATGAATTACAGTTCAATGGACTATGAGACAAAACATGTTTAATTAATTAGATGTTTTAATTTTGCATGGGTAATAAGGATAACGGAATGGAAAGAGAACAGATATGGTAATGTTTAAACATTTTCTACAAAGAGAATCTAATTAGAATAGTTTGCTTACTATTTTATAAGCACATACTTTCATTTAACTTGCTATATATGTTTGTATGTTTGTTTGGGTCAAATCTTGCCGATTAGCTAGGGACTTGAAACCCAGCTTCGAACCCGATGACAATGCAATATGAAAGATGAATTAACGCGCTAGGTGGTGCAGGAGTCGGGATATTTGTCGTTCAAAACTTTTTTTTTATTAAATGACAAAAAATAGCCTCAACCCGNCGCTAGGTGGTGCAGGAGTCGGGATATTTGTCGTTCAAAACTTTTTTTTTTATGAAATGACAAAAAATAGCCTCAACCCTCGTTCCTGGATTATGGATCAGTACACCTATTTTTAAGAAAAATGTTCAAATTTTTTTCATTTTTATTAAAGTCTGCTCTTTTGAAAAAAAATCAAGCTATTAGCGATGAAACTCGATGGTTCTATAAACAAGTTCTGAATGGTCAAATGAAAATGTGCAATAATTTTTCGTATGAAACAAGGGCATTTAATGATTTTACTCATACGGACGGTGAATTCAAATAGCGGGGCAGTACCGATTTTGAGTAAATTGTTCCGCTGAATATTTTTTAAATTTGCTTTCCCGAAATGTTTTGCCAAAGCATTCCATTTAAATTAGGAAGAGTAGGAAAAAATAAAAATTTTAAGTTAAAGAAATCTATTTCTTAAAAAAATTTTGTTGTAAATTGAGAGTATAAAATATGATTTTTATTTTCCCCAAAAGACAAAACTTCAATGTTTTAAAATTTTGAAACATGTGGATAAGTACATACACAATTGTAAATCCGTTATGTCTAAAAATTACTACCAAAAAGGGTAAATAATTAATATACTTTTTTCATTTTTGTACTAATTTTATTTTCTCAAAATGTTTTACTAAAATATTGAACTTAATTAAAAAAATAGTATGACATTAAAAACAAAATATTCCTTGAAAAAATTCGTTATAAGTTGAGTGTGCAAAATATTATATTATTTTTTTCGTTCGAAATAACGACACTGAAATATAATCACACTTTTGATTATTTTAATTTTTTCCAATTTTTTTTATATTAAACAGCAGGTTTCACCAGCAATTTAAATGGAAAATGATTTTTGATTTTCAGTCAATTTTCATATAAAATCCAAAAAATTAAAATAATTTTTTACATAAATTGCTTTGGTGTAATTGGCTGTAAGTGTTTAAATTTGTTCTTATTTTCTATATTATGGGCGTGTGTGAATCGGTAACAAAGTTCAATGGGGAAAGCTGTTGAATAATATTTTTACTATGGTGAGACAGTTTTGCCAATCTGTTGTGTGAAATGAAATCTTTTTTGACAGCAGAAAATTTTTGATAACCGCAGATTTAGTCGGAATAAAGTATTACAAATTGAAGTGAAATTAATAGTTTAAGAAAACATCTACCATCACTGATAGCATTTCATCAATTTAAGCTTTTGTTTTACGAAAAATTACACACAGCAACAATCTTTGCGATTGTCAAAATTTATTTGTATTGGTTATGAGACAAAATAGATATGTAACGTAAGTTTCACTTCTGCAGTGTGGCCCAGACGCAATTACTTTTTTTTTTCAATATAATTTATCTAGATAACTGAACAAAACTTGAATTCAACTTGACTGTCTACAAATAATTAAACTCTTACCTAAATATTCTCCTAATTTCTTGCACGTTATTCCCGTAGTCGATGTTTTTAAAGAAAAATTTCGACCTGGATACTAAGCTTATCCCCATTAGCATCGATCAAGTATATTTTTTGGGGTCATTAGTAAAGATTCTACAATGAGGAATAATAGAAACTTGCAAATTTTTGCTGCTATTGTTTACAAAAGTTTGATTTTTTCCTTTCAAACCATGTACTTTTAAGAAGTATGAAGATATTTTATAAACTCTGCGCAGAAAAACTTTTAGTAGTTCTAGAATTTTTTATTGCAAACTTTTTATCTACTCATACTTGTATTTTTCGCTCACAGCCTTGAGTTTTTACCACAGTCATTTGGGTTTGTTATTTTAAAACTATTTTATTATTTTTAATTCATTCTATTTTTTAATAACCAACTCTCTTCCGCTCTTAATTTTTTATTAAATTATTTGTTAATTTTTTTTTCTAGTATTTATTCTTGTACTATTCTTACATTAAGAGTTAGTATACACACGGTCAAACATTTGGGTTTAATTTTTAAACCGCGCTGGGACTACTGCCTTTTTTAAACTTTTATAGTCAACTTTTTAAACCAGTCAATAGTTTTAAGCAATTTTTAATATATTCTGGTTTAAATTTTAGCCCAAAAAGTCGTTTAAAGTTTAAAAATCAAACCAAAATGTTTTAGTTCTAGTTTCTAGGTTTCATATATAGAAAATTTGGTTTAAAATCTAAACCGAAATAGAATATGTTTGCACAGCGAAATGTGGTGTTGATTCAAACTCAACACATGAAAGCAAATTTACATGCGTGGCTGTAGCTGAGTGTGCAGAGATGCTTGATACAATTGGTTGCTACCAAGGCTGCCCGTGTTCAATCCCAACCAGACGGAGCATGAAATTTAAGATTGTTTTTTTTTTATTCTTAATTATGAAAATGTTTGGGCTTAAAATTTAAACCGAATTGTTTAAATTCTAAACCCAACATTTGTGCTCTCTTTTTTTTAAACTTGGAAGGTTTGTATTTGAAACTGAATTTAGTTTGGTCATATATGTAGTCCAAAAAGTTTAAAATTAAAACCGAAATTTTTAACCGTGCATTCACATGTTTCTCTGGTACACCAATGCAGTGAAGAATTATATTTTTCTGAAGTTTAAATTGGAAAAATTGCGCAAGTTATTTGAACATATGTAAGTTTATATGTGCAGTAAAGAAGATTTCGCTTCGCGGTGAGTAGCATGGCGAAAAACGCGAAAACTTGCTTAACAAGTTTGATGCTCTGCGGCGATGTTGGCCGCAGGCGAATAAGCAGTAGTAAAGTACACCGTGACGTATGAGTTACATAGTACGTGCGCTGTGCCTTTTGCTGCGTTTTTCAATCCCATTTCATATGGAATACATCCATTAGTTATATATGATTAAGAATGATAACATAAATGATAACATTAAAATATAATTAAAAACCCGGTTTGGCTGTTGTGCCGTCTCCAGTGTATCTTTATTGTTTCGAAGTAATCAACCAAGAATCAAACAAAAAATTGTATTAAATATTTTCGATAAATAATCAATAATTTATTTATATATTTCGATATAAATATCAACACATATTAGCGGTCATATCATGCGTAAATATACACACAGCTTATTTAGCGATTAATATGACGCAAGCTTCTCGATAAATCTTTATTTACGTGTCGATATCGTTACATATTTTGCAAACGATCGTTTGAAATTTGTTTAAGCAAAAGCGTTAAAATGTCGATAAATGCATATTATAGATTTACTTAAATCAATCTATATGTAAAAAAAATTAATATTTTTATTAAAACCAAAAAAAAGTGCTCAGTATTTCAATCATCAAATCGTGATCATTGAAAAACGATATTTTTATTTATATGTAAAATATATACAAATTTTATCGATAAATATATTCATATGTTCGATAACAAAAGGTAAGCACATCGAACCCTAAACGCCAAAAAACGTAGGCAACTATTTTTTTTTATCTTTTGTTTTGAGGTAAACAGTAAACTAGATGATTAAGAGAGCAAAGTAAGTTTTGAAAAT